CATTACATAATAATATAATAATACCTAATGAACACAAGTTCATACGATTCCTTCAAAATAGTCTTGAAAATAAGCTGTGTAAATGGTTTGTGAATATTATGTTGTTTTTAGCAAAAAGCAGGATTCTCATACTAACCTGACGACTGAAAACTGTGCAATGAGCAGATTTGCCACAACGGCTAAGCTCACGCTAGCAACGATCATATATTTTGCGTTGAGCTTATCAGCAATGAATCCTGTTAGTAGCATAAAAAGAAGGCCTCCATTGAAGGCAGAAAAGATATATCCCTAAAGGAATTATCAGTGATGAGTAACTAAAAAACAAATAAAAATACGAACTTCCTGCTCGGAGGTCCAGTTGAGTTTTGGAGCTGCGCTCGCATCAGTTATGGAGTCATCCATATATTCCGTTGAGTTGACCATACAGACAACAGCCATTCCCATATTGCTGTTCATCATATGCACACTAGAATTGGAACCAAATTCTATTGGGGTCCCAGAAGTTATTTTGAATGTCCGCACCTTGCAAAGCAAAGACATAGTAAACTAGCAGTAAGAAGCCGCCAACTAGGGAACCATCGATAGGTGGAAGGACGTGGTGGCGGCAAGCCATCGCTTACTGGATGCACGGTAGACATGCCACGCAGTAGCTGATCTAAACGGCCTTAGTAGAAAAAAAGTCGCAACAAGAAGAATAAATCAAAGAGAGTCACAATTCCAAAAAGTTGAGAAGCGCTTGCTTCAATGTCTAACTATATTACTACCTTAACCGTCACACTTTGACATTACTATTTATGCACTATTTTATTCTCCTTACTAAGGTATACCTCTCATGGAAAACGGTTGTGGATTTGGAAAACAAGCGACTCTTGACTACTGGTAGAAACATGTCCTTATAGAGATTTGATAGGGGCTTTTTGCTTATATATGCACACAAATATTGTTAAGTTTGAAGATGCAAAACTTCTGTTCTTCATATTTTAGTTATTTGCTGACTATGCTTCAGGTTACTGACATGCCGAATTCAAATATCCTCTAGCA